GCAGCCAGCCATTCTCCGTACAGGTCATTGAGGTCTGCTGGTTTTGAAGTGTGTAGCCAGGATAGCAATTAACATTTGTAGATTGGCCCTGTAAATAGCTTTGTGCATATGGTGGACGATGCCCATTTTCCAAATAATTGAAAGTGCATATTCCTGAGAATTATAAAATGATGATGACAACACATAAATGGGGTCAAAATAAATTAAAAACTATCTTTATAATATTTAAATTAGATGCATAAGCATCCAAAAGTAGCACATAACTTAAGAAACACTATGGCTGTTACCAAATGTTTTTAAAATTCTTATGAAATGGTATTTATCTATAATTTCTACAATTGAAATATGTATAAATGCTAAGGATAGGCTTGTAGAATCTATTTATACGTCTCGTGCTGTTAATGAAGACCCTTGATGAAAGAGAAATCCAGCCTCGGTCTTTCTGCTCAGAGACTCATCCTCCACCTACTTTCCCCCACAGGCTTAGGGAGCTCACGTTTGCTCTCTCCACTCTGGACTATGGCCACGGGCACAGGACAGAGAGGTTCACTCACTGTGGCAGGGCACTTCCGGGGTCCAGCCATCTCGTGTGCAAGTCATAAATTCCCACTTGCTTTGTGAAGGAGTCACATAGTTGTCATCACAGGAATAGTAATACCATTTTCCTACTGCTACTGGGAAGTATGGTCTATAAGATTCTTCCCTATATAGGCGTCCATGTTTTATTTCTGGAAAGTCACAGGGCTTAACTAGCAAGTAAAACAAACAAAACACACCATAAGTAATGTTTTTACCTTAATAAAAATGTAATGAGTGATACATTGTTTCATTGATGAATTATATTCTCATATGCTCATAATTATACTCATTGCATTAGGCTTTCTAGGACAAGAGAAGTTATAATCTTAAGATGATGTGAATAACACTTGTTCCCTGATCATTTCACAATATGTACAAATATGGAATCATTATAGTGAACACCTGAAAGTAACCCAACACTGTAGGTCAATATTATCTGCATAAATAATCATTTTCCCTGTCATTGTTATGCACACTGAAGCCTGTGTCACGGTGGTCATGCCTCTCTTTAAGGCACCTGACTGTCCACATTCATTTGGCCTTGGCCTTGAATGAACCCTGAGCCACTGACCTATTATGCGTATCATTTCATTTGTCACCCATGGAAGATCCAGCTTAAGTGCGGGCCCCTTTTCCAATGAACTGATACACAAGGAGCAGCAATGAGATTGTAGAGACAGAAAACACTGGAAAAGGGGCAGCCCCCCAGGAATGAAGTGCCCTGTGGACTGAGGGGCGTGTGTGACAGGTGGGGCTTTAGAAAGTGCACAATGTCTCCCACATTCATCCCCTCATACAAGGGAGCCCGTGCCCCTCCCTTGAGTGAGGCTGGACTGAGGGGCGCTCTTCTGAAGAGGTCACGTGGCTGAGGGGACCCTGTGACCAGGTCATCAATGCTCTGGAGGCGCCTCCAGGGCCCTCAGGTCATCGCTCTGGGGTGGGTTCCTGCCCTCAAGCCGCCAATGGGGACGCCCAGGGGGACGGCTGTGGAGGCTCCTGCACTCGCCCTGGGCCGCATCCCAGGGAGCAGCAGGGAGGACCCAGAACCAGGCAGCTAAGCGGCTCCCAAATCCTGACCTGCCAACGCTGACACATGGGGGCTGTTGTCTGAGGCCGTATGTTCGGGGGAGTTTGTTATATAGAAACTAATTACTATTCTACTCGGTGTTAAGTGGTAGTGTTCTTACCCAATGTTTTCATTCGCATCTACACTAATAAAGAGAAACATGGTAATTAGCGTACGACCGCTACCCTTTTCATTGGCTAATCAGTGAGTATATGCAAATTAACTGACAACCAAGATGACGGCCGGCAGCCATGCACTGAAGCGAACAGGGAGGCTTGCTTGCTCCAGTGACTGGCGGACTCCAACATTCCCCGCCTGCCACTACCGGCCTCTGACCTGGCAGTTTGAAACATTGTAACAAATATAGAAGCTAAACAAAACCCCAGAAACCAGCTTTCAGCCGGCTGGGATCTCAGAGCTGGAGTTATACATTGTTTCGATTATAGAACACAAACAAACCAGATACCAGCTTTCAGCATCCGAGGCCTAAGAACTAGAGCCAGAGCTAAAGCTGGCCCAGAATAAAAAAAAGAAAAAGAAAAAAAGGAGCGGTTGGGAGCTTCAGTCAATCGCCAATCTGAAAGCAGCCCTTAGCCCCTCACCCAGACTGGCCAGGCACCCCAGTGGGGACCCCCACCCTGAAGGGTGTGTGACCAGCTGCAAACAGCCATCATCCCCTCATCCAGCCTGGCCAGGCACCCCAGTGGGGACCCCCACCCTGATCCAGGACACCCTTCAGGGCAAACCAGCCGGCCCCCAGGCCTCTATCCTATATAGTAAAAGGGTAATATGCCTCCCAGCACCGGGATCAGTGGAGCTGCGAGGCCTCCTGGCACCGGATCAGCGTGACAGGGGGCAGCGCCCAAACCCCCTGATCGCCCTGGGACTCTGAGTGTGACAGGGTGCGGCGTCCCACCCCCCTGATCGACCCGTGCTCTGTGTGTGACAGGGTGCGGCGCCCCAACAACCCCCCCCCCCCCACGGGCCCTGCTCTGTGTGTGATGGGGTAGAGCCATAAACCTCCCCATCGGCCCTGCCCTGAGTGTGACAGTGGCAGCGCCCCAACCCCCTGATCGGCCCTGCTCTGTGGGTGACAGG